TGGCTTTTTTTTTTTATCATAATAGACTGAGGGTACCACTCTGGGCTCAAGATATCGCCAGCAAGGACTTCAGAGACCCGTGGACCTGGCTATTGTCGCAGGTTCCTTGCTGTGAGGTTGTCAAAGGAAAAACTAGTTCTCTGCTCACCACTGTCGATATGTTTTAGAGATATAACAGCACAGGAGAGATGCCCAGCTGAATACTTCTCTACTTAAAGGACCTCACTTTGAGGCTTCACTCAGCTCTGAGCTTCCAGAATACACAGGTTCTTACTTTGGTCTCCCCACATACAGAGTGTGTGGTGAATAAATGAATGAAGTCTGAATGCTCCATCTGGGTTGCTGGAGCCACTTGCCTGGCTGTGGCCTGATTAGGACCCTTCTGGTTAAGGCTTCTCTGGAGTGAAACATCCTGAGAACCAATGAAGGTCCCAGAACAATAAACCTCCTGACTCTGGCTTCCCCTGCCATCAAGATTTTCCAGCCTGTGACTCACACATGGAACCCCAAGAGACCCAGGACTGATCCCTGTGCGCTACCTCCTCATCCATCATCCTCCATGAGCTCTCAAGAATGAGAACATCGAGCTCACTGTCACAATGTTTTAGGATGTGACAGTAATTAAAAGCCACCACAAGTGCTTTCCAAAAAGACGAGGTTTCTGTTGGGAACTACAGCAGGAGACACATGCCCATCCCTGTGGGCTTCACACCTCTTGGTGCACCCCTACCCACTCACAGTCTCCATTCTCTTGCACACTTGTCTAACCCTCTTGCTCTCTCGAACACTTTAATTTTCCTAGCCATGCCTCAAAGCTGCCCATTTTAACAGGCCTTGATCTGAGGTGTGAGGGTAACTCTGCCTCACAACACAAAATAATCACAGTTGCCCGATAGTGTCTGAGCCTCTGATTACTTTTTTTTTTTTTTTTTTTTTTTTTTTTTTTTTTTTTTTTTGGTTTTTCGAGACAGGGTTTCTCTGTGCAGCTTTGCGCCTTTCCTGGGACTCACTTGGTAGCCCAGGCTGGCCTCGAACTCACAGAGATCCGCCTGGCTCTGCCTCCCGAGTGCTGGGATTAAAGGCGTGCGCCACCACCGCCCGGCCTCTGATTACTTTTAATTCATTCATTGTCTGGATGGACTTGACCTGAGCAGATCACTTGGAGTTGGGTAGACACATGGTTCTGCCACCTGACATGTTCAATCAACTTCTGAGCCCCTCGTGACCGAAGCCTGAGAGAGCAAGGCAATGTTCAACAATAGAAACATTTAATCCTTGCCAACCAGCCAGCACCACTCTTCCCCAAATCTCTCAGGTGTCCAGGACAGAAAGGGTCCCCACCAGCCTTTACTATGCTATTTCTGGAGTCTCAAGCTCCCTCCTTCCAAGGGTTCCCCGAAAGAGATTTGGAAATTGTTTCTGGCCCTGACTCTGCAGGTCCTGGCAGAAGCCTCCTTCCTCCAGGATTACTTCTGTGCCTTCCACTTTGCAGACGGACACTCCCCATCATGAGCAGAAGCCGGTGTACACCTTTCCAGCCAGAGGACCCAGAGCCGGTGCACAGCATGCAGGTGACTGTTAGTTACTTTCTTTCACGAGACACCCGACAAAAGCCACATACAGATGGAAGTGCTTGTGTGGGTTCACGGTTTGACGGTACATCCCATCACGGGGAAGGCATGAACCACAAGCCGGCTGGTCACATTGTATCTATGTCCAGGAAGTAGAGAAGGATAAATGCTAGTACCCAGCTCATTTCTCCCTTTTATTCAACCGGGGATCCCAAACCACAGGATGGTGTTCTCACACCCAGATTGTGTTTTCTAATCACAGTTAAACCAATCTATAAACTCTTTCACAGACACACATGGAAGTTTGGCTCTTTGGTGACTCTAGACCCTGTCATATTGAAGATGTTAACCCACAGTGATTGGAGGTATTTAGGTATGGCCAAGTGCTCATAGCCTCTCATAGTCACTAGTAATTTTTCTCCCACACCCCACCAGAGAGTGTACCCTGAGTGTGGATATTTGCAGAGCATTGGAGAGAAATGTTTGGTATCCCTGCCTCTGATGAAGAGGTTATCAGCCCTCAGCCCTGAAGTTGCTCATCTATCAACACACTCAAAGGCCCCATTTCCATAGCAAAAGAGACTGCTCTTACTAAAGCCACATTCACCCAGACTGGAAAGCAAGCCTTGCAAACTGCCCCCCATGTTGCTGTGTGTTGGACAGTTTTCAACACCTCCACCATCTGTTGGGTTTGGGTTCCATCCACTAAACTGTATGTTGTGGAAAGATGCCTGGGATAGGACAGAAGTTGCCACGCAACTGGAAAGCCTGTCACAGTGGAGTGACTCGCATCCTCCCATGCCACAGCTTGCTGCTGCCCAGTCTGAAGAACTGAGTGGGGCTGGACTTCTTTCTTTGTACCAAAACTTGCTGTTTTAGGAAACTCGATGGTATGTTGCTTCTATGAAGTCAGCTCAGAGGCCCCTCCAGACTCCTCCCTTTTCTAATTTTAGAAATGAGTTTAAAAAATAAAATCAAGCATGCTTTCATACACACACACACACACACACACACACACAAACCAAGTTGAGTGGTGACTGTTATGCCATAATCTGAATGAAATCTTCTCTGTGCATGTTGGCTGTGTGACTTTGGGAAAGTCACTTCACCCCTCTGTTAATGTTTTAAAGGTAATGAAGGCTGCGGGGATTGGCTCTGCAGATAATGGCACTGTGCAAGCTTGAGGACCTAAGTGTTGCTTCCCAGCACCCACTGAAAGCTGGGTGTGGCAGCATGTGTCTGTAACCCCAGCTTTGGGGGGAAGCAGAGATGGGAGGATCCTGCACACTCTCTGACCGGCCAGTCTAGATGAAATGGTAAACTCCAGGTTCAATGAGTGTCTCAAGAAATAAGGAGAGCGATAGAGGAAGACAGCCATTGCTGACCTCTGACCTCTACGTGCAAGGTCACACTAGTACACATGTCTGCTGTACATGCTGTGAGTCATGAAGCCAAGTTTAAATAAGATGGATCACCTAAATAAAGTCGCACTATCACAAGTACTGAAAATGCACCTCTTTGCTCCACATAGGAAGGACCAGTAACTTGGAGGCCAGAGTCAAAGGTCAAGCCACTTCCTGGGTACTTGGCTACTCAGATCATGGCTACCACACTCACTGTCTGGGGTGGACATGTGAAGAAGTGGAAGTGTGGGTGTACTGGTGGGCAAAGGCAGGATTGATGGTGACGCTCATTTTGAAATTCTTGGCACACATTTGACGGCATCTAAGGATCTGAGACAATCACGAAAAGCCAAGAGTCCTGATTGAGACAGTGAAAAAACGGTTGCAGGAGTTGATTGGCTGGCTGGTCTGTGCTTTCGCCTTGGCACTCTCCAGGGCTCTCTGCCCTCCCCTTATACAGAATCATCTCTATGGAGTCCATTGTCCTGTCTCTGAGTGGGAATGTTGTCAAGTGTGGGAGATCCACAAACAGGCTGAGGAGCCCCAGCTCTGGTCTGCTGCCAAGGACCCTGTCATTCCTTCTCACCTGCAAAACGGGTTCCGGCTGGATCTCCCTGGCCGTCGCTGAGCCGGCTAAATGAGACAATGTGTGCAAGTGTTCAGCATTGCATCTGGAATGCATTGAGCACATAACGAGTGATGTTTACTGTGAGATAAGTGCCTGCTCTGAGTACAGTTAATTAATGAATCAAACACAGCCACCAGTCCCTGGAGAAATGAGGCAGGTGACAATTAATTACCCATTTTGCAAGGGGCAGAGATACTTAAAGGCAGGGACCAGCTCTTCCTGGTAAGTGGGATGAAGGATGTTCCCAGTTCGTTACAAGGAATCTCTCAAACACCAAGGATCGGAGTATCACTAGGGAGCTCAGTGAGGATCCTTAGGAAGGACCCAGCAGGGAAGTTGGCAGGGAGGGGGGTATTGTGCAGGTGTCTGGCTGAAGCACCTGCTTCCCTGGCCCTGTGGCATGTCTTGGAATGAGTTACTGGTCCTTCTATGTCCAACTAGTGGGCAAAGGTGAAGGAGACTACACCAGCTCCCCGGCCCCTCAAAATGGGCTGACATATGCCCTTCCCATCGGAACAGGTCAATCCTAGCACAGTCAAGCATCCATGGAGCACTCCTAGTGATCCAGGAAGGTTTCTCAGAGTGTTGTGCATTCTAACTCAAAGCCTCATTCAATATATAATCTCCTGAGGTTGGGTCTGCAGCCACAGTCCACTCCTGAACGTCTTCAGGGATGGGGTTTGTCTTGGGACCATGTTTCTCAAGAGGAAAGGTCAGAAAACTCTTCATGTCCAGCTCAAATCTGCCTTGCTTTATCTTCCAACCGTTGGCCGAATGCTGCAGTTGGGGATAAAGTACAGATTTGCTTCCTTCCCAACGGCTAGAAACCTGAGTCAGTCACAAGCCTCGGTCACCAACCAGTCCGGTACAGAGAATATGCACTGCCCTCCAGTGATACACGAGACTAACCCAGAGAATGGGAACAAATGAGAGCATTTATCAAGCATTTGGGGTGTGCTATGTCTATGGACATCTTTGCATTTCATTTTCAGATCAGCTTTAAAGGCCCTGCTGTCAGTCACCCCAGAAACAAGAAGGACCAGGGACCTGCCCCAAGGTTGCACTGTCCACAGCCAAGCAACCACAGCACCACTGAGACCAAACATCAGGGAAACAAAAACAGACTGGTGGAGATGGGGGAGAACCCCGCAGGGCGCACACGGAGGTATGGGTTCCCAGACCTTGCATATGGGTGCAGCCGCGGGGGGGGGGGGGGGGGGGGGGGGGGGGGGGGGGGGGGGGGGGGGACGACCGCGGATGAGCGTCAGCACCAGGGACAGCTCCTCGGCTGCTCCCCCGCAGCCGCCGCCGACGGCGCGCGCAGGGCCCGCAGCGCGCACTCCCCAGCAGGCTAGCGCGCGCACCCTCCCCTCCAGAGCGCGCCCCGCGCCCGGGACTGGGCTGGAGTCGCGCGTGCAGCTCTCGGGGAGGTAGCTTGGCGTCCAGAGCCGTGGCCGCAGCGCGTAGCTGGCAGGGGCTCTCGCCTGGCCACGCACTTGCCTCCTCTGAGGCCTCCAGGAGCCTCTCCGCTCTTTTCTTGCCAGTCTGGCCCCAGCAGGCACCACCGGCCGTGGCCTGGGCTGCATTTGCCGCTACTCGCTGTGTCCGGGACAGAGGGACGCCTGCCCTGTCACGTGCGTCCAAGTCCTCCGCCTGCCGGGGCAACGTGGTTCCCATGGTTCAAGGTAAGGGCCGAGAGGGTGCGCAGGTCATGGTGTGAGAGCGGGCGATGCAGTCTGGGAAGCTCTGGCTCGGCACCCACTTCATCTGGAGTCCCCACTGCAGCCTGCCCTGGCCACCTTGCATCAGGTGCCCTGACCTACACAGGTACCTGTACAGCATGACCCATCCCACTGCGGCCCACCTTCCAAGTGCCCCAGATGTGCAGTGGGGTCCTGGCCAAGAGACAGAGGAACCCTCTGACAGAAGAGGGACTCTGTTTCCCTCCAAGGGTGGCCTGCCTGGGGGAAGGGGCATGGGGAGAGAAAGTTTGTCCGAAGAGATGGAATACCTGACTCCATTCATCCTTTCCTGCCTGGAACTGAGATGCCTGGTTTCCTGTGGTGAGACTTGCTTCCCACCAGGTTGGTGTTGCATACTTGACTTGGGCTACTGCTGGCATCCATTCTGTCCAGCCCCTGTATGAAAGGGTTGGGGGCCCCATTTGACAGACGAGGAAACTGAGGCTTAGAGAAGTTTGGCTTCTTGTCCAAGGTCAGAGTTAACAGGTGGTGGAGCCCCTGTCACCTCTTTCCCACATTAAATAGTGAGGACAGGAGGGGGACAGCAGGTTGGCAGGTGTGTTTTTCAAGCAGGAAATGACACGCCCCAAACACCAAAACCCCCAAAGCAGGTTCACATCCATCCTTCTGGCTCCACTCTCTCACCCTGCTCAATGTCCTGTCCTCCCCAGGCCGGGGTCACATGGCTTTGCTTTTGCTGATGGGACTCGGGGGCAAGACACCCGGGTGACAAGTCCCCAGACCTTTCTACAGGTTCCAGCATGTTCCTTGGCCCTTCTGGGGGAAGCTAGAGTTCAGGGGTCTGCAGGAGAGCACCAGGTTGCTCCCCTGTGATCCTTCCTTCCTATGCTGGTCGACAAAGTCTTGGCAGGCTTCCAGGGGCAGCTTCTACCTCCTAGAAGTTTATGGCTGCAGAAAAGCACGTCGGCCCATCTTCCCCTTCTTGAGATAGAATTGGGAGTAAAGTCTTCATGCCAAGACTCTCCAAACTTGGCACCTCTGGCCAGGAGGATATGGTTGAAACCCTCCCTGGACACATGGGCTACAGGCTCGCTGAATACGTGCAACTTTGTGTGTCTTTGAGTTCTCTCCGTTCCTGAGGCCAGGGGCTCACTTCCCCCTTTCCTTCTACCTTTCTTTGGTAGTCATTTGTGGTACATTTGCCTCATGCCATAGAAGAGACAGAGTGGTCTTGTGCTTTGGTCTCGGTACCCATCACCTGAGCTCCTGTAGGGCTGGTTGGTGTTGACTCACTTGTAAAGCCGGGAGGATGTAAGGTCTGGGAGGAGGTACAGCTCCCAAACTGAGTGCCTGGAATAGCGGTTGGGGGTGGGGAGCTGGAGAACATTGCTGGCTCTCTGGGACAAGGCAATGCCATGAGAGTGGGAGCCAGGATGTGCTGTGACCTCTCCACCCTCACCTCTCCTGCAAGTGAGAGAGGTTCCCCGGAGCACAGACAGCTAGCATGAACAAAGAGCTTACAGAGAACATGGGCACACATAGAGGGGTCAAGACTTTGGCCAGTTCTGCCCATCTTCCTGGGTGACCTTGGGCCAGTCCCTGTCCCTTTATAGACCTCAGATGGATTGGATGGCCCCTGGGGTTCTTCTCAGTCCTCCCCATTCCTGCCCATCCCATCCTCTACCTAAGTTGTCACCCAGGTTTTGCACTTTGGGGCTGGGTCTAAGTGCCTAAGCCTGGTGCCGGTTCCGAGCGAGGCTTCACTGCCTGGAGACCTATTCCTGCAGACCTAGCAATCCAAGGAGTAATGATGATAGTGCTCAAAGCAGAAATTTGTCACCTCACAGTCAATTATATTGGACTCTAAATTCTCAGGGGTTTGGGGGGAGAGGCAGAGTGGCACACTGCCCAGACTGTCCACTCTGCTCCCACACTGCCACCACTGCCCTGATCCCCTTCAAACCCTGAACTAGGTGGCAGGAAAGTGGTTATTTGTATGGTGGGAATGTGGATTCAAGGCCCAGGTCTTGAGTAAATCATGCAGCATTCTCATCTTCAAAACTAAGGGTGCTTCCGCCTTCCTGTGGGTATTTGGTGGCACCTGGCTTCGGGCATGACCAGAAGCGTGGTGAGGATGTGGTGGAACAGGAAGGGGCTTCCTGCCTACCTCATTGCTGCCCTTGCTGAGACTTCCTTGCAGTCTCAGGCCCTCTGGATCCACTACAGAGGGGATTCATCCAGGCTGGAGCCATAGTGCCGGCCAGCTCCTCTCCTTCTCTCCTCCCAAAGCTTTCCATTCCATCAGGAATCAGGTTCATGGAAGAGGCTAAAGTTGTTGAAGCCACTCCTGCCCAAGTCCTCTGCCTTGACTTCCTTGCTTGGAACTGCCGTGAAAGGCCTGAGAAGGGATTGTTCCTGCTATCCCAAGGCACAGGGAGTCTGTGGCCAGAACCCTTAATCCGTGGGAAGCTGGAGTGCAGAGCCTGGCATGTGGGTTCCTGATTTACACTCCTAAGAAATGACACAGGGACTCTGTCCCTAATTTTCAGGGATCTTGTGAGGGGGGAGACTGGAGATGTGTTGGGAGTCAGATCCAGGCTGTAAGCTGTGCTCTGTAAGCTATATGTCAGCTATAAGGGGGCCTTATGCAAAAGTCTAAACCTTGGTGGACAACGGTCAGGCCTGGCCTTAACACTGTGGCCTGTAATATAGAGCCTGACTGGAGAGGGAAGGCAAGAGGACTCAGAAGAGGTCACCATGTCCATCTGGACCAGGACGGTGGTCATTGAGCAGATGCCAGCCGTGTGGGGTGCTGGGGTGGTTTGGAGTAGTGGGGAATATTGCCCAGGACTGAACAAACATCACCCAGACTGGCCTACACTAGAGTCTGGGGTGACCTGTGAGAGTGATGTGGAGGCAGTCCTTGTGGGCCTAGAGTAGCGCTTTTTCTTCAGCACCAAGGTAGCACCTGATGGTACATCCCACCCCAGTGGGATGCTGCTACCTGTCTTCAGGGTCCTCCCAGCCCATCCAGAGGGGCATCTGTGGGAAAGGCTCTAGCCAGACTGAGCCAGTGCCCTGTGCTTTTGTCTACCTCTCCAGTAGCAGGGCTGAGGCAAAGGCTCAGTTGGTAAAGTGCTTGCCTTGTAAGCAGGAGGACCCGAGTTTGATCTCTAGGACCCATGAGAGGGAGCCGGGAAAGCCAGGCATGGGGGTACATGCTTGTAATCCCGGAACGGGGGAGGTAGAGACAGGCAGATCCCAGGGGTTTGCTGGCCAGGCACCCTAGCCTATTTGGAAAAGTTCCTTGCCAGCAAAAGACCCTGTCTCAAAAACATGTTGTCCTCTGGCATACATGTGCACACACACACACACACACACACGCACACGCACACGCACGCACGCACGCACACGCACACGCACACGCACATGCATATGCGTGCTCGTGATTCTAAAACCATTTCTCCCGTAGTGAGGTGGTTGGGAGGAGGGCTGTACAGCTATCTGGGAATCAGGAGAGGATTAGCTAGCGACCTGAGCAGTGCTTCCAGAACAAGCCGTGCTCCTAGGGTTACAGCCACATTCACCACCTCGCATGCCTGGTGTGGGTGGCGGGGTGGCACAGCTTAGGAACTGACCGGGACAGTGTTTATGTCTAAAGTATGTGTCCCTAGTGAGGTTACTGAACCCCTTGTTCCCCGGGTTCTTCATTCACCTTGTACGAGGGTCCAGTTTCATAGAAGCGTCTGCACACTGCTGGGAAACTCCCATGGTACTCTGTTCCCGGCCAAACCAGAAGATGGCCTCAGAACAGACAAGGAATGCCCTTGTCAAACAGACAAAGCCGGCAATGGGCAAAGCTGTCACCACCTGTGGCTCAGCTCTTACAACCAGCTCCAGGCTTCCTGCAGGCTACTCAGTGGCAAAGTTGATCCTTGGGTATTCCCAGGTTGCGCTGCCCAATGGCTGGGCTTGTGCCCAGGCTGTTAATAGCCTCTGTCTTTTGCTGTTACTTGCTTATGGCATTTGGTTTGTGGCCTCGGGACCAGCAGCCAACCTCTCTGGAAGTGGGTGCCCTGGCTCCCTAACCGTGGATTAGCAAACACCCATACCAGCCATTATGACAGGAGCAGTCTCTGCTTGCATAAAGCAGTGATGTGTGGTTTTGTCTCTTTTATGTTCTGCCTTGTGTGTGCTTACCTAATATATATTCATTTTTATAATATATTCAAATATTTGTATTAAAAGAAATGTGTGTGTGCTGCCAAAGGAAAATCAATCCAGCTTTTCTTGGCTTACTGTGTGCAAACTAAAAGCCCTTGACTCCTTGGCTGTGGTCTACATGCTCCTCTGCCGCCACACTGGACCTCAGTGTCCCTGTTCATGAATGGTCCTCTTTTGTCCTTTGGCCTAACTCCCGCTCCCATGTTGGGGATGGGCTTCAGGGCTTCATCCTCTATCACAAAGCCCTAGCCCCAAACTGGCTTTCTGGTCCAGATGTTTGCAGGGCATGGCTGTTGACTCACAGATCTACCTATTGGTTTGGCAACAGGCCTGTATGCCATTCACTGGTTCACTCTGTTTTAGAGTTGACTGGGCTGTACGCATTGAGTAGAAGGCTCTAGTGACTGGCCTAGGAGGAGGGGGAGTGGGAGCAGGCATGTGAACAGGATTAAACTGCAGTGTGGGAAGGTTCTGTGTGGATGGCAGCATGGAGGCAGGTACTCCAGATTCTATGGAAATCACCTCAGGCTGGAACAGTCAGGGAAGGCATCCTGGATGCAGTCAGAGCTGAGCCCCCACTGGGTAGGTATATAGTCAAGGAAGCAGGTATTGCACAGAGGGCCAGACACTGCTGCCGTTGCTGAGGCAAGGGAGGCCATTTGGAGATGCTACCTGACCATCAATGGGCTCCAGAAATGCCCCTGATTTTTCTTTGAGGAGAAGAAAGCACCAGACGGGGCTAATCCCAGGTGCCTCAT